GCTCTGAAATATAAAAAATCAGATAATTAAGATAACTGGAACTCAAATCAAAAAGATTAAATTGAACACAAATACATTTAATTCAATTCAATATTTATTAGGCAACTATAGAGAATTGTGTTAAGGGTTGAGGGAGATCGAAAGATTACATAAGATATAGTCCTTGCCCTCACAGAGATTACAATATAGTAAGGGGATGTGGCACATACACAAATAGCTATCATACAAACTAAAGCATAAATACATAAAAGAGGTATAAGATGTTATGTAGTACATTTAAATTTAAAAAATCATCTGAAAAAGTATGAAGTTCAAGAAGACGTGGGTTGTTAGTGGTTCATTGAAAAAAATTGGGACAAGGGTGTTAGTTGGCCACAAACTTAATATATTGACAAGTAAGGTAGCTGCTAAAGAGCTAACATAACAGAACCATAGTTTCTAAATAATAGGAAATTATAATCTCAAAATGTTAAAAAATTACCTCTGAGGTTTTATTTAACTCTGAGTGGGTGGCATTTTTTAAAAAAGAAAGACATCTAGAAGAGGAAGGCATCCAATATGGTGAGTTTAAAACACACACACAGAATATGTATGTGTGTATGTACATACATATATATGTATATACACACACATACTATGCAAACACAGGGTAATATGGAACAGTTGAAATACCTGGCTATGTCTAGTTTGAAGAAGATTCATGTGAGGCATGATAGCATTCTTCAAAAATCTAAGGGGGTATATAACTTGCGTTGTGCTGTGCCAGAAGGCAGAAGTAGAGCCACTTTGTAAAAATTATGAGAACTTAGATCTTGGTAGAACTTTTTAACAAGTACAGCTTGTCCAACAATGATACCTTCTGAGGTACATTGTCCAACAACGGAACCTTGCTTTGTGAAGTAATGAACTCTTCATCACTGGAAATATTCAGTCATTCTGGGTGATCATCAGGAATGTTACAGAAGGGTTACTTCTAAAGGTTGCATTAGGTAGGAAATTAGTCCAGATGGATAGAGTTAGAGCTGAAAATTCAAATTATTTCAGAAAAGTACTAATGGGAAAAATTGAAAGTTTTATTGTCAGTTTATGTTACATCATGTATTTACTATGGATTAGAATAAAATCAAGTGTTATTTACTTGGCTAAAGTGTAAAATATAAGCCCAAGATTGAGAAATTCTTTATCATTATTGTTTAATTGTGGAAAACAGGGCATAGAGGATACTGGTTAAACCACAGAAAGCATAATAAATATTCTCAAGTGGCATTCTTCGATGAATATAAATGTATTCCACAAAAACTGCATGGTTTAGCAGGGATAGCCAACAAAGAAAATTTAGTTTTCATCTCTCAGAGCTTTTAAGTGTGATTATTTCTGGTTGGCTTGCTTTTTAAACTATCTAACTTTATATATAGAGAGAGCATGCACAAAAGATATTCTTGTTTCTTCTTATACCCACCATTTATTTATCTATTTATAACAAGATTTGTAATAGCTTGATAAAGAATTTTTTAGTCATAATAACTCTGAAAGACTGTCTACTAAGGCAGGCAGTGGTTACAATTGGTTTTAATAGAAACAGTGCTAATCCATCCCTAATGTAACCAAGTATGCTTAGAGTACCAAAGTATATGCCTTTAAAAAAAATCTGAACAGTTCTAGGAATCATACAAATGGTTTAGAGTTCATATATAATTCATAATTTATACAAATTACACTTGCAAGTAAATATAACAAAATTATCATCCCTCCAGAAGGCTTCACCAACCTCTGAGGTACTAAATTCAATGAGAACAATGGGAACTATCTTACCTAATTTTTATATATCCCTTAGGCATGGCACGTAGGTGCTTGATGTATGTTGAATAGAATTTACTTAATCTGACTTCCCCCAGGAGGTTAAGAGTTAGTAAAAGAAATCAATCATTTTTCTTTCTGTTGCCATTTTTATTTGTCCCTAGAAAGTGGACAAATGGCTATTTGCAAGATATCTACTCCAAATCATTAATAAAGAGAAACAGCAGAAGTAGAGGGATCAAAAGAGGAAATGCTAAGGGGAAAAAAAAACAGTTGAGAGGAACAAAGAGTGGTAAATTCAAAAGTCAATATTATAACAATTTAAAAACAATTTTGATCTTGGTTACAAAAAAGTATCCAAGAATTAAAGTATCTTACTTGGTTTAGGTAGAAAGAAGACATAAGCATATATGCATATCATCACTTTGTCAACCATACAGCATCACAGAAATGTCTACTAATGCTGCTGCTGCTGCTACTACTACTACTGAACAGAGGTTAGACAGCAATGTAATTTGTAAAGATGTTTTCTTGAAATTAAAATTTCAGTGAAAGATTAACTTCACAAATTATGTCTATATGTGTATCTACATATTTACATACTGATTTCCATTAAAAGAAGGCTTAATCTGGTTTAAACATTTCCTAATAAAAAGGACATGCAGTACTTATTAGATTAACACAATATAAGATTATGATGAAAAATTAAAACAGTGCTATATAACTCTTTGACCTTTTCTTTCCTCATAAAATTCCCCTAACTTTCCACTGACTTATGTTCTGATGATTTTCAAAGTCAGTTCCCTGGAAGATCCCAATGGGAATTATTCAAATTTCATATTCCTATGTATTCCCAGAAATATTGAGAGAATAGTGATAAAAAGAAATATTGAGACATAAATCCTTTTAAGGGCATTGGAAAGTATTATATTACAAATGTAATCTCCAAACTTGGTTCCATGATCTTGTGTACTTGTGTGTACTTTTCCAGGAAATGATTTTTCTATAAACATTTTTGGAACATCTAGTATTCTTAAGGCAATGTCAGAGGGACACAGTGGTAATTAGAATCTTCTTCCTCAAAGAGTTTATAATCTACGTATCTGCAGAAAGTTACTGTGATTTTAGTGAATGAAGTATTAGCCTAGGAGTTAGGAGTCTTGTGATGTGACAGGAGTATAATACACTGGATAGAATATTAGCCTGGGAGATAGGAAGAGCTGCATTCACATCTCACTTCAGATATTTACCAGATGCATTACCCTGGGTAAGTCACTGTCCTCTTGACTTTGTTTTCCTCACCTGTAATAGTTAATGTTCTTACCTCAGAGTTGTGAGGATTAAATGAAATAACATACGTCAAGTGCTTTGCAAACAACATAAAAAGGTGCTAGATAAATGTAAGCTGACATCATCACTATCATCTTGTGCTGAAAAGAGCATGGACTCTAGGAAACTGGGAGCCCTGAGAATTACTCACAGCTCCTGACACTAGATAACTGTGTAACTTTGGATTATTCAATTAACCTCCTCAAGCCTCAGTCTCCTCCTCCATAAAATGAGGAGTTGGATTATATGGTCTCTTAGATCTTCCCACATTAAAATTTGGAATCTGAATGATAACAAACAACTTATTCACGGTAACTACATCATTCAACCATCTAACCAACTGGTTAGGTATGCACCCATACCTCTATATACCGTAATCAGAGAATTCTTGAACTGAAAGAATTAAACTACTTCTAGTTACTTCCAAATAAAATAAAGTATAAATAAAAATTATATCATAAAATCTTTTAAGCTATTTTTTTTAGTACTCTTCTCTTTTGCTGTTTCATTTCCACTATTCAGTGCTGGAATCTTAATTTTTTCCCCCTCTCTCTCCACTTTCAAGATATAATGCATTTTAAACTTTTACCTAATTTTTTTTATATGATGCTGGATTTTTTTGTAAAATAGTAATTTGATGGGCTTTTTTCCCCTTTTGAAGCTACGTGAATAAATACATGATTATAATACTCCACACTGGTTTGAGGAGACTGAATTTCAAAACATGGAGTGTTCTCAGATACATCTTCAAATAGACTATTTTATTGATTCAAACTGGTCACATAGAGTCAATGATTATAATTGATTCTTAATTCTCAAATGCCTCTCTACTTGAATAAGATTTTAAAGAGTTTAGTTTTCTAGACCATTAAAGTTTATCATCTTGCTTTTTGATAAGAAGGGTATCTCACAAAGAAATGCCTTTTCCTTTTTTTTTTTTATCCAGTCAGGCAGTTTTTCTTTTATTTCACAAGCTCAACTAAATATCTTTGGACCACTAGGGTGGAAAGCAAGAAATAGTAACAGTGGCTTTGGGGATGAAAGGTGGTTTAAATTATAATTATGTGATGTCCTAGTGTGGGAGTGATTGATTTTCCAATGCCACCACTCTGTTGATAGCTGAAACTTTTGGATTGGTTGGAAAGAATGCTACGTTTGGACTCAGAAGTCTGTCCATGGTTTGAATCCAGATGTGGCTTTTGAGAGAGTCATTTAAACTTATGAGTCTCACTAGTCTGTTTCTTCATCCATAAAATGAAAAGGTCGAAATAGATGATCTCTAATGTCCCTTCCGGCTCTATATCAATGATCTTTTATGACTTATCCTTTTCATTTCTTTCAGACTGAAGACCTAGGTGGCATTCCAGCAACACTCACGCTTCACCTGGGGTGTAACTTTGACCCTCCCTTGTCATAGTGGGATTGGCACATACTTTACTCTTGACATGCCATCAGAACCTACAACACCCAACTTCGGGTGACTCTTAGGTCCGACACCCACCACCATCACCATCATGCCCAACCATCCCAGCCACCATCTTCCTAGACCTAGACTCTTCCCCATCCCTCCCCTTTCTTACGAGGGCACCCAATGGGTGGGGCCAATACGACAGTGGGAGGAGCCTAGGGCGGACACATTTAAAGAAAGAGAGGGCAAGGGGAAGAAAGAGAGGGGGAGAAGAAAGAGAAGAAGAGGGGGGGAGCGGGTGGTGGTGTCCAATGACAAAGCCCAGGGGTGGGCGCCGGGCGCCATTTTGTTCGGGGCGGCAGGATATCCACCCGCGTCCTCCGCCCTCGGAGGCTGAGGGGGAGGGGCGGCGGCGGAGGCGAGAAAAGTAACGAAAGAAGTGCCGGGCGGGAGGCAACAGCAGCAGCCACCGCCGCCCCGGCGGAGGACGACGCGGGGGAGGGCGGGAGGCAGCCGAGGCAGCGGCGGCCGCGGCCGTCCCGAGGAGGCACCCATGCGGCGCAGCGTGAGGAGGCGGCGGCGGCGGCCCCAGGCGGCCCCGGCGGCGGCGGCGGCGGCCGCAGGCGGCGGCACCCGGGCCAGGGGAGGTGACGGGCTGGCGGCGGAGCGGGAGGAGAAGGTGGTGTACTCGCGCTCGCAGCTGTCCCTGGCCGGCAGCACCAAGGCGCTGGGCGACGCCTTCAAGCTCTTCATGCCCCGCAGCACCGAGTTCATGAGCTCGGACGCCGAGCTCTGGAGCTTCCTCTGCAGCCTCAAGCACCAGTTCTCCCCGCACATCCTCCGCAGCAAGGACGTCTACGGCTACTCGTCCTGCCGGGCCCTGGTCCCGGACCCCCCGGGACCCCCGGCCGCCGCCAATAGCCATCCCGCTCGCGGCGGGGAGCCGCCGTCGCCGCTGCTGCCACCGCCGCCGTCCCGCCGGCCGGCCCCCGGCGCGGCAGCCAGGAGGAGGCGCCGAGGAGCCGCAGCCGCCCGGAGAGTCAGGAAGCCGCCGCCGCTGCCCCACCAGCCCCAGCCCGCGCCCCCGCCGCCGCCGCTGCCCCCGCCGCCGCCGCCCGGCCTGCCCGCGCCCCCGTGCTCGCCCCAGCCGCCGCCGCCGCCGCCGCCGCTGCCCCAGGCGGGCAGCTTCGGGGGCCGGACCCTGGAGGAGATCTGGAGAGCCGCCACGCCGGTGCTGACCACCTTCCCCACCATCCGCGTCGGCCACGACGTGTGGGGCGAGCGGAGCCTGGCGGCGGCGCGGCGCAGAGCCCAGCAGGTCCTGCGAGTGAACCTGGAGCCCGTGGTGAGGCTCCGCCGCTTCCCCGTGGCCACGTCCTGAGACTTGAGAGCGGACCGGCCCCCGCCGACCCCTCCCCGGCTCCCGGCTCCCGCCTCCCGCCTCCGTCCCTCTCCTGTGCGCCCCGGCCCGGCTCCCCGTGCGCCGTCCCTCAGCGGGGACCCTGCTCTTCCACTTCGTGGGATACCCGCCGCCGTTCTTCCCCACTTTTCACCCCAAGGAGTCGATGCCTCCGGTACCGGTACCGCCGCCGCCGCCTCCCTTGGGGACTGAGCTTCCGCCAGGAGAAATGAACAAGTGTCAGTCTAGTGTTTACAATTCCGGCCCGGACCGCGTCCCCTTAGTGCACTTTATGGGCAAAGAAGGTTCATCTGATTGCTTATCTCCGCACCCCCTGCTCCCCCGTCCCGGGATGAAGGAACTGTCCGGCTCTGCTCCTCTCCTTCTTCACCTTGATCCCGCGGGATGGAGGAGACACACCTGGACTCCCGAAGGGGCAGGACCACATCCTTCCCCCACCCCTCACCCCAGACTGAGAAGTCGCCTGGACTCTAGGGGGCAGATCCGTTTTATCCCTTTTGGACTCTACCTCACTGGTCTGGAAGTCCACCGAAGAAGTCATTATTGTTCCAAAGGAATTTTGTTTCATGCTTGTATAATAAAGCCAGATTTTACTTAGCTTGTTTCTTTTCCACCACCACCACTACCGCCACCCCTCTTTCTGGACGGAGGATCATGGATGTTTTGTGGTATTGCACTAATATGTGCTCAGGGTATTCTGAATCCCATGTGTTCCCCAGTTTTTACTGGCTCCTGGAGCTTTGACCTAAGTATACGTTTTTAAAAGGTTCAGGGCTTTTATGACTGTTATTGGTGCAAGGATTTGTATGGCTTTGAGCTTCATGGGCTCAGTGATTATAAAGAGTCACAAAATAGAACTGTTTAAACATTTTTTAGTCATTTTTAAAATTTTTATATCTTAATTAAGTTTATATTTACTGAGCACCTGAAGATAATAGTTGCATACTGATTTTTTTATACCATTTTGTTTAGAAAACGCTGACTTGTTAAATTCAGTTAAAATGAATAAAAATTAAAATGTGTTGAAACAACATGGTTGTAATGAAAAATGAACTAATTTTTAAAGAACCTATTGTTGGTTACACGGATAATATATGGCACCAAACAAAACTGGAGGTATATTGGCCTGGGTCCATGTACTAGTCTAGCATACAAATCCAGCAAGATTATTCCAAGCAGGAGGATTTGTAAATGAGAAATGAATGTGTATGAGTTCAAATTCTTATCAAAATGGTAGGCAGAATACACAAATTAATTTTACAACTTGAGCAGTAGTGACCAAGAGGGATGGGAGCATTTCTTGGTATTTAATAACTGGTTGTAATTTAAATTGGGCCAAATAGCTGCTTTTTACTTTTTTAGTTATTAGATAACAAGAGATGCCCAACCTAGTAGTCATCGCTTTTTTTCTTCCAAAAAACCCCTCGATGTTATGACAAAAACAAGTTGTTGATCTTGTGTTTAAGATAAAAGTTTGGATTCCTCTTTCAGTTCATAATCATCTGCAGTTCTGGTCTTTTTCTATCGACCTAAGACCATAATGACCAATAAGCTAGCCACATTTAAAGCTAACCCTTCAATTACTGTTTTATATTATGTTTATACTCTGGCCAAATGTGGGATTCTAGATTATCCAAGTGCCTTTGGTAATGGTGGCAGCAAGACTTCATGGTTTGTAGCCAGTGGTGCCATAACCAGTTATCACTGCAATACCTAAAGGGTCAAGTAGTGTTTTTTTGTACCACTATCTTTCAAGATTTTAATTATTCTGCCATGGAAAAATCCATTCCAGGCATGGAACTTGGCATATGAAATCCTCAGTGTTGAGGTTTAACTCTGCTTGGCAGCTTCTTAGGGAGTATAAGGAAAGAGTTGCATTTTTGACTTTTATATTCTTAGAACTCATATTGGCTTAGCTTTTGAAATGAGATCTTGCAGACTCAATAATCCATAGGTTTTTTTTTTGTGAATGTTTTTTCTTGTATAAAAAAAATGACTTCATGCCAGTTTTTTCAGCAATCTTCTCATGGTCCGTAATTCACTTATTCCATGACCTTTTTTTTTTTAAATCAATACAGTCACATAAGTAAATAAAAGTGAATAATTTATTAGAAGATGAAGAAATGTTAAATTGTAACTGTTATGGAAGCCTAGATTTATATTTTGGGTTACAAGTTTTCGTATCTAGTTGTATTTCTGATGCATAGTATTCCTTTTGGAGGACCTAGTATTAATTTTTAGGTATGTGAAAAACCTGTTTGTACTGCATCATTGATGCCATTTTATGTAGTTTTATAAGATTTTAAGTTTTACAAACATACCTAATGGCCATATTAGGATGTAACTGCAGTCTATAGATTATCCAGATATTTCCTAGATGATTGTGAAATCAGATTTCTCTTGGAGGATGAATTTTATAATTCTTGATCAGCACATAACTATGAAACAACGGTTGACACCATGTATTTATTTTGAATGAGTTCTGAATTTCTTTTCATCTTATGCTTTTGAAATTTAGTAAATTTGTGACTTGCAGAAATGCTTCCCTAGATTGTTTTAGCTTTCTTGGTTTCAGTTGGATATAATTGCCCACCCTGAGTCCAATATGTAATTTATATGATCTCACAAAACAATGCCATTTCTAGTTTGTGAAGTATGGTGTGAATTTTTTTTTAATTTTTGCCAAGTTATTTTTTTAAAAAATAAAGCCAATGTAATTTCTAAAATATGAAGAAGCCTCTAATGTAGTTGATAAGTACAATATTTTTGGCAACTGTGTGGAAGGTAAATCTTAGCACAATGGCCTTTATTGGCAGGGGAGGGTAGGAGCACTCATTTACCACCACCGTCTACAGTAAATATGTAGTTCAGTTTGTATAAAATGTCTTAGGAACCCTAAATCCCATGATTCTCATTTGTTCTCTTGCCTTCTCTTATCTTTACATCTCATGTGGCACAAATGGAGTGTAAGCTAGAAAGGAATTTACCAACCTTTCTTGCCATAGTTTTTTGAGTGCCTAAGTATGATGGGTGCTTTAAATAATACTTAGATTCTTTATTATCACTTTGACCCTACTTCCTGCCAACCAGCATCCTACTTCCCTGACTAGAAACCTATAAACTGATGATTGTTGAGGGCATACTTCATTGTTGATAGTTGAGTGTTGCTGTTGTGGTGTGTATTTACTTTGTCCAATTTGAACACTCTATTATTGGACATGTATAACTTTGATGCTGGTGGCTGACAGCTCTTGACCCAATGTGTAAATCATAGGATTATTTTTTCTGAGGACTCCTAAATAGAGATACATTTTAAAATATTTGAATACAAAAAGTTCAAGTAATTATGAATTCATTGTAGATTTTTAAAAATCAGAGTCGCCACAGCAGTCTTGAATTTGATGGTTTTTAATGGAGATATATAAAATATTTGCTTTAGATTGGTGTGTTTAAAGCCTTTTATATAGACTGTTATGTCTTAAGTGCATTAGAAAGCAATTGTTCGTGATGGAACTGAAGTGTTTCCCTGGACAGTTCTATTTGATGTGGATATGATCAAGGTTTATAATCTGGTTGTATTTTGCTCTTTAATTTATTGACTGTAAATAAATTTTAGAGAATACTCTGTCTAGTTTCAGTGTCCATTACTAGTGTTGATAAAAGTTTTGCTTCAGGATTGTGTTGGTATGTGAACTAGAAAAATTGTATATGATAATGATGTAAGATTTCCATTGACAGCTTTAAATTTATGGAAGCCTTCAAATAGGTACTTTAATGCCTTGCTATGTATATTTATTCTACTGTTCCTCTTTTCTACTGATTTCATGTGCCCTAGGGCAAGGTTTTTGAAGCAATAATTCCCCCATGTTATTTTATCCAGAGTATATGTGCTTCGTTTCTAGGAACCACCTTATTCCTCATTACTGAAGCATTTTTCCAAAGCTATTTTTGATTGACAAAAGGATGTGTTCTGTCTTCCATATCTGTTGCTAAAGAGTCTTTTCAAAGTGCATCAAAATGATTCACTAATCAATGAACCTCATCTGCTGTGGGAAATTTAATTCAATACACATATCTTTCCTCCTTTCTATGTAGCACTGCCCTAGAGGGTGAGAATGATGGAAAGATTGGATAAGACGATTGTTGTCCTCTTGTAGCTTCCATTCTAATACCAGAACTTGATACAAGTATAAGTAACTATACTATTTTTTAAGTGCTTTAGTAAGGTGAATCAAAGTTCTATGAAAACTTTGCCTTTTGCTGGTAATCAGGCCTTCTATTCTTGACTGGGAAAATTGGTGACAGAGTAGTCTCCCACAGCAGAAGTAGAAGCTCTTTTCCATAGTATACGGATAGGATCCAAAGTTCCCATTATAGTTTAGTAAGGTGATAATAAATATTTACATAGTCTTTATACTGTATAGGAAAAATGGCAAGACTTGTTTGCAATATGCCATGTTGAGTTATATATTAGACTTTGGATTTGACTGTGTACCTGAGCTCTTCCTCAATACTTAACTGTGACTATAAGCTTGGGTATATGATAGTCAACCCAGCCAGAAAGTAAGGAAAAATAACAGATATAATGGGAAGATGGAACAGTTATAGACACCTAGAAGCAGTTAATGAAATGGCAACTTACAAAGGAGTCTGGTTTTTTTCTTTTCCCTGTAAGGGTACCAGGTATCCAAGCTTAGTTAAAAATGTAGATCATGATGTTTGTTACAGTTGGGTTCCATTCCTGTAACATCATGTAGACCTTCCTAAGGGAAACTGCTGCTCACAATTTCTCTGCAAAACATTTAAAGTATGCTGTAATGTTTTCTAAGCAATACTTAAGAGAGTTGGTAAATGGTAGGTTAAAGTTAGAAAGCCAAAGACATGAATAATAGACTAAAACTTTTGCTCTATTTATATTTCCTATTTTGAATTTGACTATGTTCGTGTAAATGTTTCTTTAGGACCATGTTGTTCACGTGTACCTTACCAAGTGGTCAACATTAGTACCTACAAATTATGTACTAAAATGTTCAGAGAGCCAGTTCAAATAGGATGTCCAATTGTCAGATTTTCAGTGTGAGCATATATACTTCAGAAATCAACAAACACTACAAATCGGGGTTTGATTTATTTTTTGATGCCCAGATTTAAAGCAGTGGAGAAAATGTTGATAATGCAGTATATCCCTGCTTCTCTATTAAGAGAATTAAGATGATTAGACTAGTTCTTTTGCAAGAGCATAAAATCATTACTAAGAAATAAAATAGCTTAATATTTAGAGCAATGACTTAAATGTACATTTTAATACTTTGGCTATAAAGCTTGCAATTCAACTTTGTTCTTCAATAGCACAGAGAATAATGAACACGTTTTGTCTTGATGAGCATTCCTAAGTTACAGTAGCTAAACTTAATGCAGAGAAAAGTTTCCTTAGAAAAGCTTTATGTGGAAGTTATCCAGAAGCAAATTGAGCTTGATTATAGATTTCAAAAAAGCAGTATCCCTTTACTTTCGATACTCCCTTCTAAATGCCATTCTAGACCATGATCTACATAATGATAAATATCTCCAAGTCTGACACAAGGATAAAGATAGTCCTTAATAATGGCAAGGACTATAGTTAGCATAGCAAATGTTTTCTATACAAGCATTCTGCTAGGTTTAGGAGTCAGTCCTCTTTTGCTATGGAATGTCTGCACTTGAAGATTTTAGTTTAAGAATCTTCTCAGTGGTGAAATAAACTGCCTACAATATATGTTTTCTTTCTAGCTCTGTGAAGATTGTTTTCAAGCAAGTAGTTGTTTTTGGCTTTTAAATGCCAGTCAGGAATGAAAGCATTGGGCTGTGTTCTAGTCCCAGTTCTATTGCTGATGAGTTGTGTGACACTGAATAAATCATTTAACTTCTTTGGATGTCAATTTCTTCATCTGTAAAATAAGGGTTTTCAGCTAAATGATTTGTAGGATCCCTCAGTTATGAAAAACTGATTCTTCAAAACATTCATAAAGCTAAAGAATGCCTAAGATTTACTATAAACCTTTTTGGTTTTTAGTTTGTGAAACATAAACTTTAAGTTTCAGTGATTCACTTATAAAACAGCTAGCAATTGTTTCTATTTATAAAAACAGTCTCATAAATGTATGTTACACTACTTTTGTTAATCATCACTACTAATTTTTAATTACTGGTGTTATTTTGGTAGAAAAGGTTTTTTTTCTGATGAAAATATCAAAAGCAAGTTTGATCAATCTTTTTAAAGCACCTTTAAAATGGAAAAAATGAGAAGCTATTATGAGATCCATATTCCTTTCCCTTGAAGTGCCAACAGCATTAAATTACATATATGTACTGGACCTTGGACTTACAATACCAATTTCAACAGTAGTATTTGTAATTATCGTGATCATGTTGAGCATAAGTTTTCTTCCTTATGTAGTTTTGCTTTACTTAATATATATATATATATATATTTTTAAATTAAGGAATGAATCTGGAATCACCAGGAAATGAATTGTTGGGCCACAACAGAAAGTGTATTGGATTAGAAATCATGAGAAGTGGGTTTTTTAGCCTTGACTCTTTTGCTTCTGTGTTACTTGTTTTGTAAATTGTTAATGGTATTTGTTCCTTCTTACTTTGGTGATATCCTAGATGACAAAAAAAATTAAAGTCTATTAAAATTTTCTGCTTTATATTATTTTAGATTAAATATTAACTTTTAAAAACCATTAACCTATCTAAATCTTAGAATCTTGAAGGTTAATGTATTTGGAGGAAATATTCTCTAGCGAACTATTGTGAGATAAATGCTTTTTTCATAATGATCAGATAACTACCTCACAAACTCTTGAACACCCTTCAGGGTATTGTTTCCAAATTGAAGGTTGGAACATTTTAAATGAATATCTTTTGAATTATCCTATTCTGTAGAAATCTAGCCTTGACTATGTCCATTGGGTTTTTGGTGAGGTGAAATAGGGCAACATCAGAATGCCAAATATAAATAAATAAAAACAGCCCACATTCTCGAACATCAGCTTTGAACAACTTATATGGTTGATAGGTTATAGGCTGCAGGCAAACAGTTAATTTAGTTGGTGTAAAGAATGGAGTCTTCAAAGTGATTCTGAGAGGCAGGATCAAAAATTTTGATTAGAGTTGGAAGAGACTATAGAGGTTATTGAGTCTAACACCTTTATTTTGCAGATGAATAAACTGAGACCCCAGGGAGGTTAAATGACTTGCCTAGGATCACACAGCTAGTAACTTCAAACTTAGGTCTTCCTGACTCCAAGTCTAATGTTTTATCAAGTGTGCCACGCTGCTTCTCCGTATATTAGGCTGCCTTTCAGTTAAAGAGCCTCAACTAACTGCAGGTAGTAATAGCATTTTTTTTTTTTGCTTAACCATACATATTTGTTACAAGTGTTTCATCTGGTGATTATTTTCTCAATTATCAAGAATTTATTTATTTCTGCTCCTACTATGTCCCCCCACATTTGAAAAAAAATGCAAGAAAAAAAAGCAAGGAAAGGAAAAGGAGAAAAGGTGCTTTTTTTTTTTAATGGGGGGAATGGTAAGGAAAGAAAATAGATTTTTGTTGATCAAAAAGGATGAAGTTAAAATTAATAATCATGGTGGTCCAAAATCAAGCAACAAATACAAATTCACTCAGTAAAACTTAGTTCACATTGCTCTTTGTAGTTGAAATCATTGTTAGTAGTACTCTTATCTTTAAAGGACATTAGCATGTACACAAGGGGAAATCAGTCATCTGTATTTTCATTTTCCGTAGTGACTTGAGGGATATAGCTCTTAACTGCAAGGATTATAGTTAGCATAGTAAACATTGTCTATATAAGCGTTTTGCTAGGTTAAAAAGTCTGTTCTCTTTTGCTGTGGAATATCTGTGCTTGAGATTTTATTTAAGAATCTTCCCAATAGTAAAACAAACTTTGCTATACTGACAAATGTTCTCTTTAAAAATGACAATTTGCTTAGCAGAATTCTTTCAAAATATTTTTTTTCTTTTTTAAGTAACTGTGATTTGAATGGTGTGGGTAACTACGACATAGTTCATTAATGCAGGTTGCAACTTTGCTATACCTTGGTAAACTGATGAATTGTGGCTAAAAAATATTGGTCACTTTGTAGCCAGCTTTCTGGTGATAGCTGCTGCAAACTTGGGCAGGTCCACAGAGGACGGATATAGAGACTGGCTTTCTTGTATTACTCAAAGAATGGGTTCTGGTGGCAGTTCTAAAAGAGGAGTTCCAAGAATATTTTGAGCAATGAGAGCTTATTGGAATAAGTACAACCTTCTATTGTGGCTACTTTGAAGGATGATACTCATGTGGAATAGAAGTTCTATCATTTCTTGGGTTTTTGTTATAAAAAAAAACCCAACCTTTGTACTTTTAGTTTACATTTCATACTTTATTTCAGTTATTCTAGTATTATTAAGTGTTTTACCCAAGGACCTAATATCCAATTAATAAAGCAGATTTAAAAAAAATTTGTAGTATGACTTATTCAATTCAAAAACATTTATTACATATCAATCATGTATAAAGAACTGTGCTAGTATTGGGATACAAAGCAAAAAAAAGAAACAGTTCTTAT